AACTACTATATGTATATATAATGATAAGAGCTATGAAAGCAATATATTGTTAGCTTCATATTTGGAGTTCTTAGTAGATACACTGTTCTCCAGCTTGTATACATATATGTGCGGAACACCTAACATAGTTTTGCATTTTTGACATGTCGGGGGTGTCTGTACATCATATGAACTCGATTGTTGCACATATGTGCAGTTGACATTTGTACACCTGCAGCCATCCATTGTTTGTCCATTTTTTGTTATATTTATTTCATTTCATTCTATTCATTATGACATTCTTGTGGTTCAATCTGTCAAAATCAACATTTAGCGTTGGGTTTATAATATATTTTAATTGTGTGGTAGTCTGCCTTTCTAAGCGGTCCATGCTTTAAGAAACCTTGCTGTTTGCCAGGAGTCCTAGACGACCTTCATTCCCGATTCATGCTCGTACTGACAGCTAAAGCTGCTGTGGTTAAGCTAGCCAGTCAATGCCACTTGCTATCATAGGGGGTGGAGCTCGAGGAGGAAGGCCTTTCCTTCCCGTTGTCTCTTCCCCCTCCCATAATTGTTCATGACGGGAGAGATGGTGCGTCTTAATCGGATGGGAACATGTCATTGTGTTCCTGATTGGCTCTTCAAGTTTCCCGGCCACCTAGAATGCTGTGTTCTGATTGGTCTGATATATGGTAACAGACAGCGGCAGATGAACATGCTCTGAGGAAGGGGATGTGGCCCCGGAAATGTGTCAGGATCTAGCAACTGGGACAGAGAGACATATTGGCCTGTGTCTTTCTATGTCCCGTTAGAACGTTTAATCCCTCGTGGCAGTATTTTGCGATACAGCCGTACTAGGCACTTTGAACACTCCTCGTTTGTTAGTATAATTGATGAATACTTTTTACTGTTTTTTACAATAAAGCGATTTTACACTAGGGTAGGCGCCCTGTCTGTTTTTTTTTATGTATTGCATACTGTAGCATAACTTTAAAGCTCTAAAACTTAACAGTAGAAAGTTGTCACACAAACTATCATCATTATTTGACTACTCTCAAACATCTGCAACTGCCAGTCCCTGCTTTGGGGGTTCATTGTTTGTTAGGTCTATGGAGCATTGCTAAGTTAAAAGGGAGTGGCAGAAGCATGAGAACAAAGGAGGTAAAAACAAAGGAGGTGTTTTTTTCTACAAAATGTATGTATGAAAATATGAAAGCTTTAGGGGTGCCTCGTGGATGCTAGCTGACACTTAGGGGTATATTCACTAAGCTGCCGTAGGCAGCCGAGTGAATGACCGACCTAAAGAGAAGTGAGCTGAACGCTGTTCGGCTATTCACTTCAGGCTGGTACGGCTGATTTCAGCCGTACATCGGGTGGCTTCGGGTCGGCTGAACATGCTCAGCATGTTCGGCCGACCCGAAGTGCAGGAGGAGTTCGACTCAGCCGATCCAACATCTGGATCGGCTAAACCGAACCTCCGGCAGGCTACTCGCTGCTGTTCGGTCTATTCTTATAGAACAGCCGCTGAGCGGCATTCGCCGCAGCTGTTCTGCTCGGTCCCTAAAAGGGACCGAGCAGAACAGAAATATAGTTTAAAAAGTACAAAAAAATAAATAGAAAACGATTGTGCGGAGCTAGCATAGACAGCTAGCTCCGCCCAACAGTTTTCTATTGGCCGGCAGTTCTGCTGCCGTAAAAGAAAAGAAAAACTCTCCGGGCGCTCTGGTAGTCTCCCGCTCCCAACCACCCAGGAGAGAAACACTGCTTTTTCTTTTTTTCTTTATTCTGACACGGAATGCATTGCTAGATTCATATTGGCTATTTCAATTTGCAATAGCCAATAGTAAACTAGCATTGCACTCACCCTCTGCTAATGGACCTGATGGAGAACTGCAGCAGAGGGCGGGTGCAATGCTAGTTTACTATTGGTTATGGTAAATTGAAATAGCCAATAGGAATCTATCAATGCATTCCCATGGGCAAAATTATAATTTTTTTCTATTCTGACACGGCTCGGTGTCAGAATAAAGAAAAAAAAAGAAAAAGCATTGTTTCTCTCCTGGGTGGCCGGGAGACTCCCGGAGCGCACGGGAGAGTTTGCTGTCTGGAGATCAGTGTCCCTGGTTAGCTGGTAAGATCACGGCTGGCTCCGCCCAGCTGGCAGAAGCAGGCTGTCGGCCGGCCGTTCGGCCAGCTTCGGCTTTCAGCACGGCTCAGCTGAGCCGCTTGGCTAAGTTCGGGAGCTGTACAGGCTATTGCGAATAGCCCGTACAGCAGCCCTTCGGTTCTACTGAACCGAAGGGGTCCAGGGGCCGAAACTAGCCGAAGGATCGGCCAAAGCTATTGCTAGATCCTTCGGCTGCTTCGTGAATAGACCCCTTAATCTCATATGTAATGTCTATCGGCATCTTCAAATGAGCTATCTTAGTAAAATGTTTCTTAATGGAGTAAAGAAACATATGCAAACAAACATCACACTACTTTTATTTATATGAGCTTCCAGCTGTAAATCAGTAACTGTTTTACAGTTGTGAAGAATCTTTTAACTTACTCTAGACAATAAGTAATAGGGATATTAACATAATTGCCCAGTGCAGAAAGTTGTTGCCAAGAAACTCAAAAACTCTAACTCACTAAGGGGGCTATGATAACAGTTATTGTTATTATCATATGCCCTCATCTTTTCTTTTTATGTTGTTTATAACAATTGAGTCAGTAACAACAGGGCTTATTGCTTTGTATTCCTAGATTTGTCATTGTGAAGTCTCTGTAGAGAATAATAAGCCTGCAGCTTGCTGTCCTCCTACTCCCCTGTACTATTTTCAGACTTACTTGTTCATGAAAAATAATTTCACACATTTTTAATACAAAAAAAGTATTGTGAAGAGTTTGATTCCTTTTGACAGTTATAACATAGTGGTAAAAGCTGAGGAACCATCTTTTGTGTTGCGTTGGTTATTACATCTTTAATTTTATAATGCACAGGAACTGTTATAAATAGCAATGTTACTGTCTATCAGCTGCCTACAGCAGTGCTCACTATGCCACTACCTCACCTTGTTGCGTAGGTTCCACATGGCTCCTTTATACAGTGATGTTTTCCTGTGTAGTGGCTGTAGTATAATAGATGGAGGTTGCCTAACGAAGGGAATAGAGGCTGTTTCCTTTTTTGTATTTTGCTTGCACATAATTGGGTATTCAGAGTAAACCCAGCCATTTGCTTAGCTAAGCGAACTGGCTTTTCCCTTTAGTAAATGGCCTCCATAGAGTCTGGTAAAAGATAGAAGCAGTTTTTTTTTTTACTTCTGGACATCACTAAAAAGTTATAAATCCGAGTTACAAATATATGAATTGTTAAAGGTTTTCATGAAAAAGCACTTTACAACATTTACTAGCCCCTTCCATGTTGGATTATACATATCCAGGAATGTAAAAAAAAACAACAACTTGCTAGCACTGCAAGAAGGAAAACTATTTACAGCAGATGTTTCATGAGTTATCATTTGAGTGCAGAAACTCATATTAGGTTACGATTAACCTTTGGGTCAAGTTTGGTTATGCTACAGAAGGAATTTGTTTTGACAGTTGATTGTCAGAATGAAAAGAAGTACAATATGTGAATTCTATTTATTTATTTTTTTTTTGTAAATATATAACTAAAACTTATATGTAATTTTGTATCTTGACTGGTTTGAGGTTACACATTTTTATAGGGTCCCATGTCCTATTTAAAAAGCAATATACAGATACCAGTGCCTTTTGTTCTGACTTTATTTAAATATACAGTGGTGTACAAATCCAATTATCCAGTGTTTTCACACTCCACTGGACAGACCCCGATATATTGCTGCATACATAGTTCGAAGCAGGTATTTACCAAGCTATTTAATTTGCTGCTGCCTTTTAGTTATAAAGCACTGAAAATAGAAGTGAATCATGTTTTAGAATTAATTTGCCCTTGTGTAGGGTCATAGAAGAGCTTTTCTTGCCTACAGTATTGACAGAAAGATCTTCCGTAAAATGGTGCATGTCACTTCTCATTAACTTCTATCTTGAGATCATTCAGGGATCATTAGCTCATTGAGGAAACTTCATATTGTTATTTTCAGATTCAGAGTACTATACTGTACCTTAGTATTGAGACATGTTCTCCACAGAAAGCCACATGTAGAAGTTACAGCCTGACTATAGGGACAACAAAAGTATAATATTTTCTGATTTTCCACTGGAATAATATGTTCAAAAAATATTTTTTTTTGTGCACGGATACTGATTTTGGTGTGTTTTAACAATTGAATTGTGTATTTTTATCGGTTTAATATTAATTTGAGAAACACTTGCGCAATTATCGCAGGGCCTACAAATTTAGTATCACCATCTTTTTATTCTACCGGGCCTACGCTTTCAGAAAATATATGGTTTGGGGGGTCTTTTACAAACGCTAGCAATGCAGCAGTTGAAAATAAAATCAATAGGAAAAAATTGCAGAAAATTCAAAAATGGCTTGGCCAGCTGATTTGAAAATTGTTCCGGAGGGCTTGGCAGCGAAAGGGTTAAATGCATTCTCCACTTATTTGTGACCTAAAGCCAAACAGAGCATTATGCAGACATACCAGAGAGGGATCCCATTTACACTTGAACCTACTTTTGATTTGTAATCCTGCACAGTCATCTCTGCTTTTTAAATATTCAGATTAGGAGTGTTTTTAGAGCTTTTGTTGAGAAAGAAAGGTTGTGTTATTGTATGGAAGAAAGTGTATTGATAGATGCCTGTCTGGGAAGCCTACTGTTATAGCAATCTTCCTCTGTGGCTGACCCATACTGGTTTTTGGGCAGCGAAAAATGACCATCTTTCAAAATTGTCTTTATAGGTGTGGGCCAATACCAAAGTAATGCTTTCCTTTTTGATTTTTAAAGGTATTCTGAAGTTAGATTTCCTGTTTTGGAAAACATTTGTATTTATGTTATACAATTTAAAAAGAATATTTACAACCTTAACAACGTATTTTTTTTTTACCTAGGTGTTACTACTGTACTGACTATGACAACTCTTAGCATCAGCGCAAGAAACTCCCTGCCAAAAGTTGCCTATGCAACAGCTATGGATTGGTTCATTGCTGTTTGCTATGCATTTGTCTTCTCAGCCTTGATAGAGTTTGCCACTGTTAACTATTTCACTAAACGAGGATGGGCGTGGGATGGAAAAAGTGTGGTCAATGACAAGGTAAGGCCTGTAGCTTTAATTACCAGTAGGGGGATCTAGATATGTAATTACCTATGTGTGACACTTTATATAATGATAGATCACCCTGCCAAAAAGTGAATGAAAAGTATGATCTTGCTTATGATGTAGATAACCCTTTTAGATTATTCTATATTCAAGTTAATCTATGTACTTTTTGAACACTAAAGAAGGGTAGAGGAGGATGTATTGTCCAGGTAAAGGACAGTGATGGGAAATCCCAAATGTTATTCTTGCCACTGAAAAAATGATGTGGAGGACATCTCGTAGTGGGGGTCCCTGTTACATTGACTAAGAGACAGTATAAAAAAATTGGGTATAAATAGACTTTAACCACTTCATTAGAGAGCTCGGGCCGGCCGTTTTTTTACTACGGCCGGCCTGGAGGTGGTTAAGGTCTGACTCTAACTAAAAGATAACAAAACATCTAACTCTCTCAATCTGACACCAAACCATGATGCAGAGATGCCCCATAGAAGATGCCTCTTGCATGGACACTTCCAACTGATAGCTGGGGCCACTGACAACCTTAGCAAGCATGGCGACATTATGAGGGTTAGTCACAAAGCTAGCCAAAGGATCAGCCATAGCTGATCCTTTGGCTAGCTTCGGTCGCCGGAGCCCTTCGGTTCAGTAGAACCGAAGGGCTGCTGTATGGGCTATTCACTATAGCCCTTACAGCTCCCGAAGCTGGCAGAGCAACTCAGCCGAGCCGAAGTGAAACCCAAAGCGGGGCAAAAGGGCGGCCATTGGCCGGGCGAAAGCCTCGCAACTGACAGCTAGGTAGGGCCAGCCATGATGTCACAGCTGGCTCCACTCAGTTGCAATGACAGATCAGTGTCCCCAGGTTACCTGGGGACGCTGAACTGTCATTAAACAATGACAACTTGGTGGAGCTGGCCGTGATGTCACGGCCACCTCCACCTAGTTGTTATTCATTGGCCGGGACCTGCTAGAAGATTTTAGCAGGTCCGGGCCAATAGGAAACAGTTGGGCGGGGCTAGCTGTCACTGCTGGCTCTGTCTATTTGTTTCTTTTTTCAATTTATTTATTTTTCTTCTTTTTTTTAAATCTTTATTTTTTTTAATCTATAATTTATTAACATTTGTAAAGTTTTTTTTCTACTTTTTTTCACTGTTTTACTATTCTGCTTGGTACCACGGAGGTACCAAGCAGAATAGCCGAGCCGAATGCCACTCTGCGACATTTGGCCATTCACTCACAACCGCTTGGCCCCTATGAGAATAGGCCGAACAGCAGCGAGTAGCCTGCCGGAGGTTCGGCTCAGCCAATCCAGATGTTTGATCGGCTTGGTCGAACTCCTTCTGCACCTCGGCTCATCCGAACATGCTGAGCAAAGCTAGCCGATGTATGGCTGATTTCAGCCAATGTACGGCTGAAATCAGCCGTACAAGCCTGAAGTGAATAGCCGAACAGCGTTCGGCTCACTTCACGTTGGGATGGTTATTCACTCGGCTGCCTTCGGCAGCTTTGTGAATAACCCGCTATGATACCCCTAGGAAGTGCAAAAGTCTGAAAATTAGGCAGTGCTTAGTGTATGTTTGCAAAGTGTGTGTATTTGTTTTATTTTTTAATAAAGTATTTTTTTTAATGTGCGATGGCTGCCCTTTCTTGTAAATAATGAATATATAGTATTAGTACACAGCATACAGCCTGAATATTAGTCAAAATATTTCAGCGTGTCAGTGGTGCATTCAGCCCCTAGGCCTTTTATTCTTCTGAGCTCACATTTCATCACACTTACTTTGAAAGGACAGTTAGGCCATTGAGATTTCATCTGCCACCACCAGATGAACATTAAGAGCAGAGTCTTGCTTCCCCCATGTTCCATCATGATGCATTATTATTACTGGAATGCATTTGTATATATTGTTCTTAGTGTGAAAGCATTGTTATTAAAATTGTCATGCAGTTAGGAGTGAAAAGTGGTAGCTTGAAAGAGATTGTCCTATGTTTTATTTCATACAATTTTATTTTATATTTATGTTGTAAGATAATTAAGGGTGTACAGTTACTATGCCACTGTGCTCATAGCGACCCTCTTGCTGAGATGAAGTTAAGGTTAAAAGCAATTCCTTGTAAAAAGAATGTAAATGGCATCTAGCCATTGCACAAAATGCAATTTTAGTGGAGTAATGGAAGACTTGCACTTGGCTTCAGTGGGTGACTTTTAAAGGCTAAGGGCACATAAAATTATAAGCTCCTCAATACTGGTATGTTTTTTTCAATTCCCCCAAAAAGTGCCAAAACAGTAAATCACCTTGGGGTGTCTACTCTTAAGAAGGGGGGGATGTTTGTATTGTCCTGGCATTTTTGTTTCCTATGTTTTATAATAAAAAGTAAGGGGGGAAGTTTTTTCCAAAACATGCAGTCTTTTTTTCTTTTATATAGTAAAAAAAACAAAAAAAAACAACTATCACAGCACTGAAAACTAATATTAGCCTGGACAGGAAAGGGGTGTAACATGCTTGTCCTGAAGTGGGTAAAATGATATCACATTGGTATGACCTTTAAATAACATAGCAAAATGGTAACGTTCAGAGTGGACATACATGTTTAATTTTAGGGGAGCTTTATTCAACGCTACATTGTGACGCACGCAGGAGAAAAGAAAGCAGTTTGTGTAAATTGTAACATTGTATCCTAATTGTAACATTAAGATAAGATTAAGTTAGGTTGTTGGGGCCACAAGTTAGCACGATGGTGACTTTTTCTCAGGTTTGCAATCACTAAAAATTCAAAAGACATTGCGTTCACTCATGTGAGCATTCAATGCTTGCGCAGTGAACACAAATGCAATCAAGATCATCTCTCCTCCTCCTTGTTGTAACCTACAGAATCCTTTTTAGGTGGGAATATGTGTATGGATTGTAATATATAGACGATAGATAGATAGATAGATAGATAGATAGATAGATAGATAGATAGATAGATAGATAGATAGATAGATAGATAGATAAACTGTATATTAATTTTATTTGTTTTTCACTTTTTTTTTCACTTTTTTCTTCATGGGGGCTGGCAGGATGTGGTCAGTGAAGACCTACAGTCATGGGCAAAAATATTGGCACCCCTGCATTTCTGTCAGATAATGCACCACTTTGCGTAGAAAATTGTTGCAATTACAAATGTTGAGGCATTCTCATGTTTATTTATTTTGTTTGTATCGGTATGACATAAAAAAGTGGAGAAAAAAAAGCCAAATCTGAGACATTCCACACAAAACTCCAAAAATGGACTGGACAAAATTAATGGCACCCTTAATTAATATTTGCTGGCACAGCTCTTGGGGAAAAAATGAAATCAACCGATTCCTGTAACCATCAATGAGTTTCTTACACCTCTTTACAGGAATTTTGGACCACTTCTCTTTCACCAACTGCTCCAGGTCTCTCAGATTGGAAGGGTTCCTTTTCCCAAATGCTGTTTTTTAGATCTCTCCACAGGTGCTGTATGGGATTCAGATCTGGACTCATTTCTTTTTCAGAAAACAGTAGAATGATGGGCTGCACCAAAAAGCCATTTTGTTTTGTCTGTCCACAGCACATTCTCCCAAAGGGATTTAGGCTTCCTCCAGTAAGTTTTGGCAAATTCCAGTCTGGCTTTTTTTTTGTGTCAGCAGTGGGGTCCTCCACGGTCTCCTACCATAGCGTCCCTTTTCATTCAGATGGTGATGTATAGTGCGAGCTGACACAGTTGTACCCTGTGCCTAAATGCCAGCTTGAATTTGTCTGGAAGTTGATTGAGGGTCTTTATCCACCATTCGAACAATCCTTCGTTGCAATCTTTGATCAATTGTTCTCTTCCGTCTACGTCCAGGGAGATTAGCTACAGTGCCATGGGCTGTAAACTTATGGACAATGTTGCGCAGTGGACACAGGAACATTAAGATCGCTGGAGATAGACTTGTAACCTTGACATTGTACATACTTTTCCACAAAAACTTGGAATGTAATTATTTCTTGCAATTCGGAGAAGGTCCCAATAATTTTGTCCAGTCCATTTTTGGAGTTTTGCGTGGAATGTGTCAGATTTGGCTTTTTTTTCTCCACTTTTTTGTGTCATACCAATACAAACAAAATAAATAAAACATGAGAATTCCTAAACATTTGTAATTGCAACAATTTTCTGCGCAAAGTGATGCATTATCTGACAGAAATGCAGGGGTGCCAATATTTATGGCCATGACGGTGTTCCCTGCTGTCATTTTAAAATGTTATCCAAACACCACTTCAAAGGAAAGTTGTGACTAAAGTGGCAAAGTCAGTCAACACCATAGCAATTCAATATACCATTTCACATAACTGTAAAACATATTCTTATTTCGAATATTGACACCTAACAATGCTTTTTGAATTTTATTTTATTTTTTTCAGAAAAAAGAGAAAGCGTCTGTCATTAAGAAAAACAATGCATATGCAGTCGCTGTAGCAAACTATGCTCCAAACATCACTAAGGATTCTGCTCTCCCAACAATATCAAAAAGTGCCACAGCAGATCCCAGCAAGGCAAAACCTCAAGAGGCAAAGAAAACATTCAACAGCGTTAGTAAAATCGACAGAATGTCTAGGATAGTCTTTCCGCTTTTATTTGGTACCTTTAACTTGGTATACTGGGCTACCTATCTAAATAGGGAACTTGCCATTGAAGGGCTTGTCCTATCAAAATAGACTAGACGCTTTGTATTCCAAACGATGTACTGGCATTCTCAAACTCAGATTGTTCTAGTATGTATGACTAATAACTTGTGAATTGACATGTACAGTAATCACCTCTTAACTAAGGAGAGGGGACTCTGTTAACTAGAATGAGCTTATGAATAGACACTGTAGCAGTCATGGCTTTTACAAGTTTCCTCTTGACCGCAAAGTATTTACACTTTGTATTAAGGTTTGGCAGCATCTGATGAAAAATGGCTACCTGTTAGCAGAGAACATGTTTCCCAGTCCTTTTTTTTTTATTTTGTGGGGGTAGGGATCCTATTTTGTTAATTAGAACGTTACTCTTTTATATGATATTGCAACATGCTTGTGTACTAAAAATTATTTCTAATTTCGTAAGGTTTACCATTAACATCACACAGACCCTAAAATAAATTGAGTTGTTTCTGTTTCGATGATAGAACTATGGACGTTTAATATCTTTGTTTTATTCAGTGATTCTTGTAAAACTAGCTTAGTTTTTAAAACACTGAATGGTGAAAGTTTAAGGAAATGATCAGGGAAATTTATATGTCAAAATTATTTAAATATAATTTTTTTTCTGCAGAACTGCACTAATTTTCATTTCAGCATAACTTAAAATTATTCCCCTACTTTTTGTAATTTAACTCTTTTTTGCAGATATTTAAAACAAATATTAATAGCCAGTATTTTACAGCAGTGTGTGTGTGTGTGTGTGTGTATGTATGTGGTCATTATATCACATAGCATTGCAACACGTATGACGCTTTTATATTTGTTTTAATATTTTTCATACAAAAGTAAGCTGAAAGATTTTTCCAGATTTAAACCATTTCTAGGCTTGCACTGAGCATGCATGTTGTCTTTGCGAGCTAACAGCTCATGGTTCCCCATTTGTAGTAAGGACTGATGATCGAAGATATCAGTATGTAGGGTTGTGCTTATTATCATAGGGCGGAATATTCCATATACTTGCAACACTTGTAAGGGTTTGTGTCGATGGGCAAATGCAGCTTGGTTTCAGGTGCATTCTGCTTGCATTTGAAATCAGTTTAAGATGCTTTCAAGATAATTCAGGTTTATTGAGAGGTGCATTTAACCACCTTCTGACCAGCTTTTGACCACCTTTTAAGCTGCATTAACACTGCTTTAAGGTGCATTCACATTCACGTTGACTTGTGTGGGCAGAGGATCAGTTCTGACACAAACAATAGCCCGTCAACACAGGTCCTAACTCATGCAGCCTAGATGCATATGAAGATTAAGAAAAATTCTTCAAGCCTTGTTAAAGATTGCCCTAATTTTTTTTTTTACCCTTAAGTTGACAATTGATGCCGGTACCGAACTGTTGCATTTATCACAAACTGATACTGAAATGTTGCATTCATGCAAACTTTTATTTATTTTAATTTATTATGCTGTCATTATTTTGCACATATTTTTTACATGTGTCTAGTATTAGTACAGATGGATGTCCATTGGTTCTACAACATGTTCCTCATAGTTCAACCTCTGTAGCTAACATCTTCTATTATTATCACCAACACAGTTTTCATTATCAGTATATAGTTATCACTGTTTACTTTTTTGACAGAGTTTACAGGGAATATTCACCCCACACATATATTTATGAAAATGCCACATTGGGTAGCATATTATTGCACTTGATCTTTTATCACTTTTGAATTTTAGGTAAAATCATTGTAAATATCCAGTCTTCTCTATCATTTTTTTTTTTTACTGTATTTAAGTTAGCAGATTTAGTATTTGAGACTATGTTGTATACATTTGTAAAGAAGACATTAGGTAGACTATAAAGTGTAAACATACACTATTGCTCATAAGCTATTAGTTGCTGTTAATTTATCTTGCTTTAATCTTTTTTAAAGTGCTCATTGCATGACAACATAATTGTCAAGGTCATAAATTAATTTTATTGTCAAAGTGTTAGCATTGACAGAAAAAAGGAATACGAGACTCAAGGACCACTGAATGGGTGTTAGAGTGGATGAACATAATCACAGTTCATATTACAGAAGAAATATCCATGTAAAATGTACAAAAGATTGTTTTCAAATAAGTGCTTCCTAATGGTAATATTCTTGTATTGTACGTTACAAAAACAGTCTCCTTCCTTTTAGCCGATTTTAAAGCTATTATTTATAAATTCAGAACAAGTCTTTTAGACTGTCTTGGTTTTCCACACTCTACATATCATCACCTATGATGAACTAAACAATCCTTGACCAGTTCATATGCTCGGTGTAGCCTGTCTCCAGAAGGTTTGACTAATGCTATTTACTGGTGTGGAAGGCTAAAAAATAACGTTTTACCAAAAGTAGACATATCCCAGAAGCCACTGATGCCACCAACATCCATCTTTTGAAGTTTGGTATTGGTGTTACCTTGGTGCTTTCCGAACATGTCCCTAGCAAACCACTTGTATTGTCCCTTAGAGGAACATGCCACATAATAAAACTGTACTGCCAATAGATTAATTTACAGTCTGACAATTGGAATCTGAAAAATTGTATTTGGCTGATGGCTGCAAGCATATGGACTTCAAGACAAGTATGGCTTAGCAATGCCACAGCCTGTTACTAGAAATCGTGGCATACTTTGCTCAATTGTTTTTCCGGGGACGGTAGTATATGTAGTGTTTCCACAAATTCAGCCCTAAATACTGGTCTCTTTCAAAGACTGTACTAACTCCAAGATTTTTCTGAGAGACTTCAGAATTCTGCATCATTTTGTCTATACATGCATCATAGCATATTAAACCTATATTTCATCATTATCATCATCATCAGATTATTATTATTATTATTGTTATTAATCATGCTTTTTAATATTTGGGCATTAAATGGGCTTGTGGTGAAGTTTTGCACTTTATCCATGTTAGAGAAATAAATATATATTTTCATATTCTTAAATGAAAACTAGAACACCTAATTTGAATCTGGATCTTCCATTGAGGTTGTGCAATATAACATACACATATAGGGCAATGTTAGATGGGCACTTTTAATGTGGCCTGTGACCTAATATAAAATACAGTGGTTACATTGTAAAAAGAGTAACTGCATTTGTTATCTTGCAATCCTCCTCTTTACTGTAGAAAAAAAGAGCGTGTTGGCAGATAACGGCTAGAAAAAATGCTATATGCAGCATTTTAGCAGAGCTTTTCTCACTCTGACGGATGCTGTACTATGCGTTTTCACAATAAATTCCATGGTCCTGTCACATGAAATGGAAAAGCATGCATTCATCTGATCCATCAAAACCACAGAGCTAACTCTACAACATGGTGATAAAAATGTTTCTCTGTGCTTTGCTGTAATTGTCAAGTGCTGCACATTAAGTGCCCATCTAACATTGCCTATACTGCCAAGCAATAATAAAGAGTAAGTTATATATACATCACATTGCATGAGCCAACTTATAGCCAACTGTATAAAGGAGGAAACAATATTACATTATTGGTTGGTTATTTTAAATTGTTGTACACGTGTAGGTTTAGTAAATGATTGTTGTTTAGTACTATTGTCTCTTACACTTAAGATATAAATATGGGTGTTTGCAGAATCTAAACGCAACATTTAGTACTTGTAAGCTATACTGTAGCATCATAAATAGCATTATTAATACATGTAAAAAGATTCCTGTATATAGAAACAGTGTCTGTAAATACAAAATCAAATGTTTATCTGATTTGACCTGTTTTCAGAAAAGGGATGTTTGCAATACTAGTATTTATTGCCCAACACACTTTGTTTCATGTGAGTTGGACACTTTGAACTGAATGTTTTAATTAGTACAGTTACTCTGTTTAGTTTCCCCATGTTTATAGCTACAATTGATAGTCATTAATGTTAAATTTAAAGGGGTTTCTGCATAAATCAGATCTATTACTTAAGACATTACAACAGTACAGTACTGCACAGTTCTAGTAAAAATGCACAGTTCTGAAAAAAATGCAGCTTTGCCTGCATAACCTGTGGAAGAATTCTGAACATTAGGATGTCTGCCCATTCTGAACATTAGGGTGTCTGCCCATTCTGAACATTAGGGTGACTGCCCATTCTGAACATTAGGATGTCTGCCCATTTTACAAACTTTCACTAGCTTCTATGACAGTCAGTGAGTCTCCCGTATAGAAAACTGCTAACACTCCCAAGAGACTCCGTACAAAGTCCTGACTTGGTGACAGGTGGTCAGCTATGATCCCAATAGCAACAGTATCATAAAGATCATCCAAAGGGTAAGGGAAGGTTGTTGTTGTTTTTCCCAGTTTGACCTAATACATCAAAGGGTAAGAGAACTTAAATTTTCATTCTTTGCTTGCATTCTTTTTGTGGCATACTCTATGTATGCACTTTATGGTTATTAATGAAAATAGAGCATATACATAATATATTAATGCTTTTCTGTGCAAATCTTACCCCTAATTTTGGGTTGGTAGGTGAAATCAAGTCACAGATATACTTGCACGTAAAATTTACTGAAGAAACTTCTGAGCCAAACAGCACATCTTTATGCCGACAAAAACCTGTTCTCTTACAATTTCTTCAATCGAGTTGCATATATATCTGTGCAGGTAGTCTTGATTGTTTGACTCTTCAATGGGAAAGCTGTATTCATTGTTATTATTCTCTACTACAGATTTCCCTTGCAATATGGACAATATGGGAACAACAACTTTACCCACGGTTCTTTCTGGTAGAATAAATGCCAATTGGTGCATTCTCTGCTATTGATTATAGAAAGAAGTTTATAGGTGAAGGTTTTAAAAGAGGTCCTGCCTTTGGAACTATTCCATCAAATGCCTGGCAGGTAGAGGGAAAAGAGCAGAAATTCTCCCCTGTCTCAGAATCAATATGTCACAGCCCTCCTTCATCAGAATCAATATGTGCACACTCCTCCCCCATAAAGAGACTAAAGCTCTTTGTATTGAACTGATTTGTCACTAAGAAATACTGACAGCATGCCCTTGCTTTAACCACATACTGCTAGGACCCTCCATAGTCTTCTTACCGACTCTCCCAATTTAAATATGCATGGTTTGAGTCCTCAAATTAGTTCAATCAGTTAAATGCTTACAAATATTAAGCTTTCTCTGTCCAACCAACATTTTGGTATTGTGAGTTTGCTGGCAAACTAAATAATCCACTGGGTTATTATGTCTTGTAGGAAAAAACGTTTTGACAATACCTTCCAGGATCCCCATTTCCAGCCAACTGCCATGGC